GCGATGCCAGAATCTCGTCACCATGGTGAAAAACATGGTACATTCAACGGTTTCAAGCACCCGATTCATCGTGTCACAGGAAGCCGCGTGCCGTGTAATTAAACATCCACATATGCGTCGATCACACAAACAGGCCTATGCTGAATATTGCATGTGGCAGTTTTTAATTTTGACACACCAAATTCATTATAAGATTTAAAACATTCCTTAAATAGGTGATATATTTTGTGCATATACACACTCTCTCTCATCGATTACATAAGAAAGCAATAAGGGGAAGTGCGTCTTAAACACTGACTAACTGCGTTTAACAGGAAAAAGATGACATTCAGTGCGCTGTGTGGGTAACGGGTCCGTTTGACTCATGAACTACACGCTGTGAGCCTCCTACCGACTTCAGCTTCTGTTGAACTGAACAAACACGATAGATTGTCACTAGTCAGCCATGCTGTACACAGCAGACAACATTCAGCCAAGAGAATAATGCAGAAAGACAAGGACGAGAAGCTAAAAGAGAGCATATTCAAGAAATGAACTATACAAAGATACGGGTATCAGAAATCATTTTCTCACACTGTTTTTTGTCTTGTTTCTTTCACTAAAATGCATAAACATCCCTAAAATGTACTTTAGCATATTCTGCTTTCAGAGAAAACATCTTGGATTTTGCGAATTGTCTTTTTCCCTGTTTTAGGCATAAATCTAACAAAATTTTGTGAGGTTTCTGCCTAAAAACTATGGGGGAAAAAAAAAATCAAATTTGCCAATAGAACTTGTTTTCAGTGAATATATCTTGAATTAAGTGTATTTTTCTTAACTTATTCACAAATAGATTTTTTAAGAACGAATCTAACAATATACTGAGGTTTGTGCTTGAAAATGAGAAAATTGCTAATAAACTTAATTCAAGATTTATTACAAAGTTTTTTCTCAACTAAATAGATTTCATTTTAATTTTCACCAAAAATATTAGAACTTGTTTTCAGAGAATATATCTTGAATTAAGTCTATTTTAACTCATTTGTAAATAGCTTTTTCTTGTTTTAAGCAGAAATCTAACTAAAAGAGATTTTAGAAAACAATATTTTCTATATTTCAATATTCAGAAAACAAGAAAAAATATTTTCAATGGGGTGAGAAAAACCTAATTCAAGACATATGCAAAATTTGTTAATAGATCTAATTCGAGACAATATACAAAAATGGTTTCTCAACTAAATTGGTGTTTTAATTTTCAACAAAAATATCTAAACATTCTTAAAATGTACATTTGCATACTGAAACTTGTTTTCAGAGTACATGTCTTGAATTCAGTTTATTTTTCTTAACTCATTCACAAATACATTTTTTCTTTTTTAATCTAAACAATAAATCTAACAAAAATGGTTGAGATTTCTGCTTAAAAACGAGAAACCATTTTAATGATGTGTGAAAAACTTCTAGATTCTAGACACAATATACAAAAAACTGTTTCTCAACAAAATTGATGTTTTAATTTTCAACAAAAAAAACATCTAGACACTCTTAAAATGTACTTTTGCATGCTCAAACTTGTTTTCAGAGAATATATCTTAAATTAGGTTTATTCGTAAATGTTTTTTTCCCCTATTTTAAGCATAAATCTAACAAAATTTGGTGAGGTTTGTGCTGAAAAACTAGGGAAAATACAATCTGTAAATCAGGTAAGAAAAAAATTCAATACACAAAATTTGTTTCTGAAATTAATGCATCTCATTTTAAGGATGTTTAAATTTTTTTGTTCAGAAAAAAGACAAAATTGACTGAGAAAATGAATTTTGCAGTGTGATAATACTTAGTGTTCAGTGCAAAAGACATTTTAGGGCAAAACAGGGTTTTGCGGAGCAAACGGATGGTGCATTTAGTGACTTTGATGTCCCTGTGCATTATTGTACAAATACAGATCGCTAATGCCGAGAACAACATGAAGAAATAACTAGCTGCATACAGGCTAGTCAGCTTTCTGCTCGTCTACCGCTCCTAAACACCACACGAAATGAGACGCCCTTATGACACACAACAAGCATTGTGTTTCACCGTCCGAAATACACACATCCAAGACGTCGCTTTATCGAGCGTTCGTACTTCTCCTGACCATTTTGAGCAGAATTGGTGAATTTTAATATGCATTGTAAACAAACGAATTATTTCTAGAAATGCAAAAACTAAAGACTTTCCAACACAATCATATCTTAAAGGTTCGACTTAGTGATTTGACTTGGTAGTGTGTGATGAAATGGCTTCGGGTGAGAAGTCGCAGAAGAAACCGAGAACTAGAAGGCAAAGGAAGGTTATGCGTTTCATATTTACGTTCCTCCGAATCCCAATCACGCTCTCCCGTCCAGATCCCATAGCACCTTGTGTTGTGACATCACCCAGCCATCAGCCAATCACAGAGTCAGATTCAGTCGGAATCAACACCCCTTCCTGATGGCACACAGAGCAGGAGGGCGCACACAGGAAAGAGAGAGACCTCACTTCCTCTCCAGTACAGCGAGCTTCCTGTGGATGGCGGTGGTGGCTTCACTTGCGGACGGCCTGCCGGTAGCTGTGTCTCTGGCCCTGACCGCGGGAGCAGCCGTTGTTTCCGTTTCCAGACGGTTCTTGTGCATCAGCGGCGATGCTTTGGCTCGCGCCGTCTCTGGTGCTGCAGGGTATACTGCTGTCCT